GGAATTATAATTATATTAATTATAATTATATAATTATATTAATAATAGGGAAACTGTAGCACACTTATTGCAATTATATTACTGAGTATTGGCTCAAATAATTTCAGAATTATGCATATAAATCAATACCTAAAGTATGATAAGAGCATTATTCTCCTGCCTTGGATCCCTTTCTCTGAGCATAGGTAGCTCATATTAGAAAGTTTTTTTCAGATGTGTAGGAATGTGGAAGAATTATTAATAATTTAAGAGATGAATGATTATGCTGTATCTGTGTGGAGTACTGCCCAATGGACAGTATTTAACAGCAATGCATAAATGTAAAGTGTTAATGGCCTGCTTACCTCCATGTCTGAAAAAATCTGGACAAGACAGGATAAAATTTGAGTGCTTAATTTTATAGTTCTTCCCCTTAAACTGGAAGCAGAGTGTTCCACTACTGTATTGAATCTGCTTCTACAAATTATTTACTCCTTTTTCATGTAACTTACTCAGATTATTTAAACAGAGCAGCTGAAGCTTCTGTATGTTGATTTGTAATGATATAGGATCCAGAACTCCCATAACACAGCCAGGTGAAGTGGTAACATGTGATGAAGCCTTGAAAATACAAGTAAGTAGGCACTGTGATATACAAAAATCTATTAGTGCAGAAAAACACTATAGTGTCACTAAGTGTCAAAATTATGGAAAATATATTTCCTTCCCAATACAAATGGAGTCACTCCAGAAAGAATATTAATACTGCATGATGTGGATTCTGGTCTAACAGCTCTTTTTAAAATGTTGACCTTTGTTATCATAAGGCTGACTAAAATCCACATGCAGACACATAGTCTCAATTGCAATAAAATCTTCTGTGTGAATGTAATATGCAGGACCATGTGTGTTTTAAGGCATATTACCACCATCTTATTGCAAACTGTGTAGCATGTGTCTTTCAAAAGAAAAACAGTTATTCCAACTATTCTGCTAAAAGCTCTTACAATAATTTTCTAAATTTTCACTTAGAAGGAGTACTTGTAAAATTAGAGATCAGATTATCATCAGTTTGAATTTCAAATGTCCAAAGAATATTTAAAACCTATGTAACCTAAATCCTAAAGTCAGGCCACTTGATCTGTACTTGAAATATATATGACAATCTAGAAGTAAACAAAACCAGTTTGGGTTACGTGACCTTTCAGTTGAAGTCCATCATTCCAAATGATAAGTCAAGAATTTCAGTTTTGCAGGAAATAATGAAAAATATCTGTGCCCAGGACTTTTCATCCACCATTACAAACTTGCTAACTTCAGCACTCATAACATTTGTGTTCAGGATGAATTGCAGTATGTGACTAGAACACCTACTGGAGTCTTTCTGGAAAGTGGCACTTTGTACTCCATCAGCTCAGAGGAATGGTCAGTTATATGCTGTGACAGATTAAGACAGTACATTATCATGAACATAATTCATGTGACATTTCATACTCCCTTTCTGTTTTCATCTGTTTCTCTCATCCTAGAAAATTCAACAGGGATTCTGTATCAGCTTAAAAAACATAAAGTGATGTTTAATCTGGATTTTCTTTGCCATCACTTATCCCTCTGCATCTGCCTTTAGTTTTAGGTAACATAAAGATTGACTTAAAAGGGCATACCTGAGGTGTTTATGATGATCTTTGCACATTGATTTAATATAGTTTATCAAAGTTTCAGGACTGAAATTTGATTTCATGAATCCAGATAAACATTCTATACAGCAAATGATGAGGGAACAGTGACATTTCCTTAGCAGGAAAGTGTGCTGAATTCCTATGAAAGGAGAAGGAAGATGCATGAATTAACCCACAGCTGGTTTAGTGTTTTAATGGGGAGGGGTGACAGTTCTCCACAAGCCACTGAACAAATATCAATATACATTATTCAAGGTACAGTCATCAAGGAAAAAAATGAGTTAAATGTAAAGAGAAGTGTAGTTAAATGAATAAGTGGAACAAATTACCTTCTAGTAAGAATCCTGTGCAAAAGGGATTTCTCAATACATGAATAGAAGTGAGCCTTGTATCTGATGATGCTATTGAAGTTACCAAATACTGCCTGAAGGGAGATCTTTGAAAGAAACGTTTCTGATGGAGACAAACATCCCTGTTATTACTTGGTGTCAGTGCCACATACCCACAGGACTCTAAGACAGTCAGGGCCAGATGATGCCATTCTTCTTTCCATATATACAGTGAGATTTCAAGCAGCAGGGACAAAGGTGTGTGCAGACTCACCAAGTAGCACTCAGCCAGTGTGTTTGTCTCAGCGTGGGGCCAGAGTAAGTGACAGGACATTAGCAGCACGAAGTCAGGGCCAGGGCACCTACACCTCTACACCTGTAGATCGTGGTGCTATATGAACTAAACCAAAGGTAGGAATGCTCCCCTGCATGTCTGGATGTGTGATTGAAAATTGTGGGAACCTGCTAGCCACCTACCTCTTCCCACAGAGTTAGGGGACAGGCTAAATTACTCAGGATTCATCAAGTTCAAGAGTCAACAGCTGAGAGCCTGTGTTTGTGTATTTTTCTGCAGCATTAAAACATGTGTCCAGGTAGCAGGAAAACCATATTTATTGTCAGTCTGGGGAATATTTGTCAGAATGTAACACCTTTGCCTTTTCCCTTTCATACTTTTATTAGGTGCTATATATATAAGCATAACTTTATAATTAAGTAGATTGTGGTAATAGACCTCGATTTCAAGGTTGTAGTGCCCTTTTAATTCCCTACATGATGTCCTAGTCTAAAAGACGTTAATAGAGATGTTCTGAAGTTGAAAAGAAAAGTGAGGGAAATCAGCATTAAAACTTAGTAAGGTCCTAGGTAGTAAAAAGCCTTTGTGCAGAAGATTGTTCTCCCACAGAGAAACAGAATTTTCTTTTAGCCTTTACAGTCAGATCTCACACAGTTGAAATATCATAATCAAAGCTCTTTGCCGCCTTGTGTTGAATCTACTGTACTTGAAATCTTTTTATTAGTGAGAAACAGTGTTTCTATCCTAAATAATATGATGAAAGCATTCAAAATGTCAAATGAACTTTCACCAGCTAAAAATATCTCCACTTTTTACTATTACAATAGTAGAGGGAATTGCCTGTAGGTGACTGGAATGATTAAAAAGGAATAGAGAATATACAATGGTTGCTCCAAAGGGACTGTGAGAGTTCATCACACTGTCAGGTGTCACTGTTACTTTTATCCCCAATTTCCTAACCAGGATGGTGCAGTACTTTGTTCAGGACAGGTTTGCACTGTCAGGAAAGCTAGGATTTTGTTCAGACTCCTTTGTCAGTTGCTTTTAGCTTCCACTTGTTTTCCTCTCCAGTCTTTCCTACTTGAAGGTAGTGTTAGCTTACAAATAGCTGTTCCACAAGGGAAATGAGCCCTACCAATTGGTGTATGTCGGTCCATTATTCAAATTTCTAAGAAAATGACATGTTTGAAAATTTATAATCTGTAATCTAAGTAAATAATTTTGTGCATATCTCTAGTTTTCTTGGCATAATGAGGAATAGAGTTGGTTACTGGCAATATCTAAAGAAAAATAATAAGTAAATACTTTTACAGTGACTACCACTATAAATTGGTAGCTTTTTGAAACAAGACCTGTTTAAAGCCTTGCACGTTTCCTTTCGGTAGGACATTACAGTATCCTAGTATTTAATGCTTTTCCTAGCCTTAAAAAGTCATTAAGAATAAGATATTTCAAAATGTCTCATCAATGAGCTTATCTATTGACATAAACAGACTTATAAAGATGAGAAAGGTTCCTGCTCATGGTAGCTGTTAAGAAGAACTTTGTGATATTGCTTGTTTTCCTATTAAAATGCCACTGGATTCTAAATAACTTTAAATCACCTCATACAGCTGATATCAACAAACCCACCAGAAAAACATACTGGTAAGTGGTTCATATATCTGTGATCAAATGCACTTAGAATATGCCAGGCATGGACTAAAGAGTCATCACCAAGAAGCAAATAAAGAAAAAGAATACCTAGTTCCTTCCATTAAAAGGACTGTATTCCTCATGTGTTCTCCACTGAGACATAAAGGAATAGAGGTCCGGAATGGATTTAATTTTGCACATGAGTGAGACAGAACCCAGAAGGAAAGCATGGAAAGGAAAGTGGGGAAGAAAATAGGAGCAAGGAAGATTTGTCACGTGGGTTTTTAAACTGTACTTTGGCTCTTAGTCAACTTGCCATAGGGGAAAGTTCAGGAAAACCTTGGCTAGAGATGGCTCTGCCAAGTCCCTGGTGAACTGTGACTTGGCATAACTAGCTGGTCACACTGCCATCCAACCATAGGCTCTCTGCTAGTGACTACTGACAGCAAGAGACAGATCTCTTTGTGTTGCTCTGCAAGGACCTCCTATTGCTTACACAGATCTTCACACTATCAGGAGGTTTTGGAAGTAGAGCCAGAATCATCCCTTTCTGCTTTTGGAAACTCCTCTGGTCAGGGAGGGAAGGTGCTGAATCTTATTGCTGGGCAGACCCTAAAAAATTTAGTCTGCTTCAGAAGATGCAGCAGCAGTGCGTAGGGTTTGTGTAGAAAGGTTTTGGCAGTGGAGGGGCTACAGGGGTGACTTCCTTGGGAAGACTCCAGAAGCTGTGCACAATATAAGCAGCTTTAAGACCTACTGCTGGACATGGCTGAACCCATCAGTGACACTGGAATTCTTCTGGGATAACACATTTAAGAAGAGCTGCTACAGTAGCAGGGAGAGAGGAGTGAGAAGATCAGATGAACAGCCCTGGAGACACCAAGGATAATTAAAAGGGAGTGCGGTTGTTGCTCTGAGAATTAAGCTTTCTGATATTGTTTTCATTGTCTCTACCTACTTTCCCAGGAAAGCAACTATAAACTTAGATGTTTATACATTCCATTAAAGAAATGTCTTTTGATGGTCATTTCTTACAACCAGTGTGGTTGGGAAGGTGGTAACCTAACGTTCCAACCCCTGGTTGTTGTTGAGAATCTATAAATACCGAAACAACAGAATAAAGGGCTCTCTTCTTTTATCACACATTGAGCTGTGTCTGTGTGAATAATTTTGTGTCCAACAGTGACATGTGGTGAGGTCTTGCTGGCTCCAGAGCAGTGAGCTTCCCCTGCAGTCCTTGGTGAAGACCATGGTGAGGCAGGCTGTTCCCCTTCAGTAGTTCCATGGTGGAGCAGATGTATACCTGCGGATTGTGGAGGACCTCACACTAGAGCAGGGGGATGTGTTCTGAAGGACACTGTGACCTTGTGATTGGACCAGGCTTCTGGCAGGACTGGTGGACCTGTGGGGAGAGGAACCCATGCTGGAGAAGTTTTGCTGGTAAGGCTTGTGACCCCATGGTGGAGACCTCTGTTCCTGAGGGACTGCACTCCGTTCTTAGATGGACCCACGAGCCTATCATTATATTTTCTCCCATTTCCTAGTAAAGGTGGGAAGGGATAAGGAGACTTTGTGGGCACCTGGTGTCCCCCCAAGAGCAACCAGTCCCTTATCTCTTAATGGACACGTGACATTATTTAGGGAGATGTCTGTCATGAGGCCACTGATGGAGTGCCAAAGTGCTTAGTAGCACAGCTACCCCAGAAAAGCCTTTCAAAGGGCAGTCATTATTTTTAGTTAAGAAAGGTAACTGTTTTTACTTGATGGTAGGAGACCCACACATCCTAAACTCCTGCATCATTCAGTTCAGTATCCTTTTTTAATGCTCATAGTGCTCTCTCTCAACTAAGCAACATTAAAGTAACTGCTTTGTTGCCATTATTTCAGAAAAGCTGAACTTAGTCATTGTAGCAGCAGGCAAAATTTTGTAAATAATTAAGTCAAGGAAGGCAGTAGTGCAGAGTATTCAACTAAAGTCAATTAATCACAGAATCACAGAATAGTCAGAGTTGGAAGGGACCTCTGGAGATCATTTAGTCCAAAACCCCTGCTAAGGTAATTAAAAGTATTGGAGATCGGTCTTTAAGAATGCCATGTTTTAAGCAACATGAAAAGTTTTCAAATTTCATTCAATGCCTACAATAATCTATTAAAAGGAAGATTCATGGCACAGAACACCAATCACTCACTTCAGGTAAAGAATAACGATACAATTTTATGGGTTTGAAAATTCCCCTGATAACCACCAAATATACACTTAGTGTGTGTTCTTTGATGAGTAGTATTAAAACTTGTCAAAATGAAGAGGATGATGAACAGAAAATGGTCACCATATCCTTAAACACAGGGGATCATACTATTGAGTGACGCTGGTTTCTCTGTTGTCATTGTCCTGAAATTTCAAAGTGATGAAGAGCAACTGTTTTAAGCAAGTTCTTTAATGTTGCAGAAATGGGTGAAATACATCAAACAGGATTAGATTTGAAGTACTAGCAGCTTTTCCTTAACAACAGCATATAATTACCCCATAATTTAAAACCCACATAGCTATTGGATGTTGGAACTCAAAGCATATAGAATTTCCTCTGAATAAATACAATTATATAATTACATGCGATGTGTAAAAAAAGCTTTTAAAAGTTTTTACATTTTGTCTTTTTGATTGTTTGCATTTGAAAAGCTTACAGAAACTATGAATATGACTATCTCTTTATCATAACTGCAAATTTACCAGGAAAGTTCCTCACCATTATGGGACAGAATTCATACTGTTGGAAGCGGCTTTTTCTCCAGCTGGAATTATTTCATAATAATTATTTTCTTTCCCTATTTGTCTTAAGTTTATGTGTACAAGTTGTCACTTTTGTTCATATATTTACTTTGATCAGGATTCTGACAACCTTCTTTCATAAAGCAGTGTGCTATTTTGGGAACACTGCCTCCAAGGTGTTTCTTATGGACAGAATGGTTCAGCAGAGGAAGATCAGCAGAATTTGAACATCTGTGTCACAGCTTTGCTTCCTCCAATAAAGGTGAATGTGTCAGAGTTCTCATCTAATTCTTTGGAATGATGAATACATTAAATATTACATTAGGATTTCACAGGTAGATTACCTGTGAAAGTAGCATGTTTTTTGGTTTGTCTATTTGTGTCATAGCTATATCCTATGGTTATCCAGTTAAAAGTTAGTCCTGCAAATATTTTGGCATTTGTATTATCCCAGGATTCACTGAATCTAAAAAGAAATTCCAGTCTAAGTCATGGCAAACATAGAAAATTATAACTGTAATAATTCTTCTGCAGTTGTGTACCAATCCAGGATTATTTGTTTATAAAATTTAAATTACATAATAATAAAAAATTATACATTAATAATTTTTTTCCATCTCAATTATCTTGAGATGAATAAGAAAAAATGAGACAGAAGTTATAGTCTAGTTGGTATAGTCTTTTTACCAACTTGTCTATAAAAAGCCTGAAGACTCAAGCTACACAAGTTTGTTAAAAGGACCACACGAGTATGTGCAAATACCAAGTGTGTCTTGACCTGTTTCTTGATAAGGAAACATTTACTCGAAATATTAAGGTCTTTAGCTCTTTTACTAAAAAAAATATTGTAAGGTTTCCTTCCTAATGCTGATCCACAGGGAAAAGAATCCACATTGTTTAATTGTGCACCATGTTTAAAAGGACCAGTGCAATCTAAAGATCTTGCTTACATTCTGTTTCATGTCTTAAACTATGTCCTTGGGTTGTGTGCATACACAATAATGAACTGCTGGAAATCTACACACACAAAAAATGCAACATTGTTAAGGCTGAAAAACTTCTAGAAAACTAACAGATCTAGTATATTATAGAAAATATTTTTACTCCTTATCCTTGAAGAGCACAAAGCTATAAAATTTTCAAAGATTTATCAAAGCAAAGATGTCTCCTAACCAAGCCTGGATGCACATCTTCAGATTAGGAAGGAACTGATAGATATCTTCATTAAGAATTAGCATTGTCTTCTGATAATATGAAAAAATAATTTTAAAAATCAGTCCTCTTATTGGTTTACTATTTAGTTTGGTGTGGTTTACATTTAATGATTCTGTGTCTTAGCCAAAACTTGGAACTGTTTGTATCATGACAATGTTGTGATATCTCATAGTTAAGTGGTGCTAGCAAAAGGGAGAAGACTGAAAAGAAAGCAACTTTGGACTAATATTTCCTCTATCTGCAAGGTTCAGGTCCCTGCTTGCTTTGATGATCTGCTCATTACCTAGTGGGCACACAACTTTTTCATTGCAAAAGAGAACAGCTTTGCATTTAATTTTTTAATCATTCAATTTTCATCCAAATACAAGAACACTTTCCCAGCTGTGTGGGCAGTTGCTATGGCTGATTAAAGCTTCAGTCCCTCAAATAGATTTATTTAAAAACTATTAGAATTATAATAATTATTGTTGTTGTTGTTGTTGTTACTTCCTCCTCATTCCATTGTCTCTTGCTATATTTTATGTCAACAAATGATCAGTCGTATGTCTTGCCTGTCTTGTTAAATCTGCTTGTCTCTCTCTTGCCTGTGCCCTTTTGCTTTCATCTCTCCTTGCTGCAGTGCAGAGCACTGGGTTTAAGGTGCCAGGTAGGATTAAAGGCATCCCAGGGAGAATTCACTTTTGAAGTGGCAGAAAGTAAATGCTTCTTATCAGCTCTAAGTGCTCCCTGTGTCATTGGCTTTCATGGCTGTGGCATGTCATTTGTAAAGATCTCTTATTTCTGCACGCTGTAGTGGAAAGTAATCTGTCAGCTTTTTACCAGTGTAACAATTCACTGGCAGAGGCTGCTCTTGATGGATAATAGTGTCTGATTAGTGGGAAATTAGTATCATCTACTATTCCCATAACAGCAGAACACATGCTTAAATATAATTTTAAAGTATATTATACAGTTGTCTGGCTGATTATATTCTGTTTTTACAAACGTGCCATCCCATGGCTGTGCCTTCTTTTCTAACCTATGTGTTTCACCTGCTTTAGGAAGGGCAGTGATCTCAGGAGTGAATGGATTATTGAACAGCAAGTCCCAGCTACTAGCACTGTTCTCTGATTCAGAAGTAGGTTGTCCTGGACACACTTGATGAAGAAATTTATAAGGAACACAAATATATGGTGAGTAAGTATTTGATGTACAAAACCCATTGAATTTATCAACCTCCTTTGACAGGTCTATGTTGCCCATGAATATTTATAGGTAAAGCATGAGTGAACTCTGAAAGATTTAAATCTAGATTGCATTGTTAGTTTCCCAGGTTTAATGATATTTTGTTTCATTATTAGATGAGAGAACATTCTGTTGTTATACAACATATTCCAGCAGATATCCAATTTTGTTAATGGTCATTTACACAATTGACAATCTTTTTCAGAGACCACGTTCAAACATTGCCTATAAAAATATGATTTTTGAGAAGAGAAAGCTGATGTTTTCCAGCATTACTCCTTTCTGAAAATAAAGAAATGGCATACACAGAAATAAACTTAGTCCAGTAACTTCCTCTAAATTTCAATTATTAAAGACACAAAACTGATTGTGCTTCACTTATAATGGTAAAACAGAGAAAACCTCTTTATAATGAGAAAACACCTGAATTTTTCTTCAGTGACCAATGACAAGCTCCATCATTTTTTGAATGTCAAAAACTAAATGAATTGAGAAAATCATAGGAGCAGAATGTATCAAGTAAAAAAATCTTGTGGAAAACAGCTGCTGTTAAACTGTGCTAAGGAACACAATCAAGGTTTTCTAAAAAAAGAAGAAAAAATTGTAGAATTTAATTATGTAGGTTTAAGGCTCTAGAGAAAGCCAAACTTATTTTTGCATTATTCTGATTTTCACAGAATTGTAGAAAAATCTGGATTGGTCCTTTGGAAAGGGACCCTAAAGACCATCTCCTTTCAGCCTCCTTGCCATGGGCAGGGACACCTTCCACTAGACCAGGCTGCTCAAAGCCCCGTCCTTGAACACTTCCAGAGGTGGCCCATCCCCAGCATCTCTGGACAACCTGTTCCAGTGCCTCACCACCTTCACAATAAAGAATTTCCTAATCTTCTAAATCTTCTCTTTGAATTTGAATCCCTTATCCCTTCTCCTGTCACTCCATGCTCATGTAAGTGGTGGTCTCTGTCCCTGTTTCTTGTAGGCTCCCCTCAGGTACTGGAAGGCTGCAATTAGGTCTTTCCAAAGCCTTCTCTTCTGTAGGCTGAACAGACAGGAATTTTATTAATTAATAATTAATTGACTTATTTATTATTTCTGAAATTAATTTAATGCTATTGAATGATACTTTATTTATTATTGTTTTCAACTGCCATTTTAAGCTTCCTTGTACTGCTAAACTTTATATACAAAGAGCCCAAATGACAGCATTAGGAAATTTGTATACAATTCAGGTTTAACTCTTCTTCTTTTCTTTAAAAAGTAAAATTTTTAGAAGGTGATCTGACATTCTGTTGTATTTCAAATTATTCTTTTCTATATATTTTAAGCAATCTGCAAATGTAATGCCTGTGCTACCCACCTTTTACCCTCATCCATCTAAAACTTCAACCTTCATATAACTTTGAATTTCTTTAATATCTCTCTATATTTTTTTCCATTAGTGGCAGTTCTGGATGACTTAAGTTTTACAGGCTCTTAACTTTTCTAACTTGGCTGACGTAGTTTCTCAACAGTGACAAACTTGCCATGCATCAGAAGATATATATATGTTTGGAAAATTTAGTACCAGCAAACCAATAAAGTCTCTCCAGAGAAAAGCTTGCCGAACATCGCACAGGAGCAACGCATCAATCAACTTCTTAATGCAGTCACTTTACTGCTTCCTTCTTTCCCTTTAATTATTTATTTATTAATTTAAGGAACTAGGCCAGGGGAAACAATTATTTCTGTAAAGTTTTATCTTTAAATTATTATTGTTCATTCATCTCTTTATAGTTTATTTATTGTTTATTTTTCAAAATAGGGTTGTTTTTCCCTAAGAAAAAGTGAGAGAATTCTTCAAGAAGATTTTTTTTGGGGATTTTTATTTTTCTTTTAAAGAAATGCAAAGAAAATCTAAAATTGTAAGGATATATTTTATAATTAAAAGCAAAAAGCAATAATTGCAACCAAATTTTATGCATGTACAAATTAAAGATATTTCTTTAGAGACTTATTTCTTTTTCTTCATTTTGTGTTGATTTTGTTTATAAGGTTCGGTCTAAGAAGAGAAAAGAAACCTTTTCTTGTGAATAATTAAAAATCTCCAAACAAACAACAACGTATTAACTGATTCAGAGAGATGAAATTTATTTCCAGCATATTCTTGCCAGCTTCCAGATGTTACACGTGTACTGTTGCAGTAGTAATTAATGCTAAGAACAGCCAAAGAAATGTTAAAAATGGACAAGAAAAATTAAAACTAGTGTTGGAAGAATTTGGACATGCTTGTAGCAGTAACAAGATAGATGATGTCTCTGTGACCCACTGCCCTGCTATTTGCTTTTTCCATATCCATAAGATTACTGGGAATTGTTTAGTTGACTTAACTAGTTATTTTGTCACCAGACATGATGTTTGCTGGTTTCCTAAGGAAGTGTAACACATAATGAGTATCTTCTCTCTCATCTTCATGTAATTACTCATACATAGCATTTAGTGTTCATCATGTGAGACACAGAAACAGTCCATGGAAACAGATCAGAACACAGGTCTCCTCTGCAGGTGTCCTGATTTGTTGACTGGGAATAAGTTACATTTTTCATGCTCCTTTTTTACAGACCAAACAAAAATACTGAATCATTATTAAAAAAAAATAATTTCAAAGTCACAGCAGGAGAGTGAAAATGTGTGACTGCTTGAAAAAGTGTGATGCCTTGTAGGGAAGAGATGCAAACTTGAGTCCTCCCATGCTGGGGACACTTTACAAAGGTCCTCTAGTCTCTGAACTAGAGAAAAGATGGAAGTGCACAGGCGCTTCTGTCTTGTTTCACTTTAAATGTTTTAATGAAAGCATTTCTGCCCTCTGTGTTGTCTACAGAAATTACTCCTGATATGGTATTGGAGCTAAGAGATTCTGAAGATCCTGATGAGACATATTCATGGTCTTGGTGCTGAACTGCTTTGGTGTGTTAAGGTGACAGAAGTCCTTAGTATTTATATAGGCAAAGAAACTTTATAGGGAATTTAGGAAATTCTATTGATGAAAGCTGGGATATGTATAGAATTTAGTCACCCAACAGCTTACTGTTTTTCAAAAGACAACTGACACTTTAACACTTTTCATGACAAATCTCATCTAAAAATATTCCAGATAACCTCTTCACCCCATTGCAGCCAATTGATACTTTTCTACTGATTTAGTTGCTTTCTACTTCTCTTGTCAGCTAACACTCAAACCATATAACTTTGTTGTCTAGAACATGACAGGTCACATGTAAGGTCCAAGGAAGTCAATAGCCCTCTTTCAAACTACTTAAAAGGGGTATAGATACAAATCTGAGCTTATAGTTCTTATGGAAGCTGACACATAAAAAGCAAGTTTATTCTTCCTTTTTATAGAAAAGGAGCTTCACAGGAATAAGTCTCAGATGTCAGTGCCATGGTATGCATGAAATTCTGAATGCAAGTGGGTTTTCTCTGTACATAGAATTACAGTACTCAGAAGAGGCACCCGAAAGCCACTGGAAAATGGAAATCAACATTGGAAAATTAGGTAGCAGAACATGCTGCCCTTGCATAATTGGGTTTCTCATCACTATCTACAAGCACAGCCAGTGTTTACCAATGCGATGCTGAAGGATGCAAATATTTGCTCCACAAACAATAGGTGGGCTTTTAAAGACACTAGTTGAAGCTGTTGAAGTTATCTGATTAGGACTTGTGTGCCCATAAAAGTGCAGAAATTAGAAAGAAGGCTTGCAAACGTATTCATAATGAGAAAGGGGAAAGGGGTTGTGTTTGGGACATGATTAGCTGGTAATCAGTAAAGAACAAACTGATTATTAGCTGTTCAATTCCTGTCAGTCTTAGGGGATTCCACTCAGTGGCCTAATTAAACTGAGTTTGAAGTCCTCACATCTCCATTCAGGGCAATTTCATTATAATATTCAGTTCTTTGCATGAGCTTTGCCTTCCCTCTCTTTAATCATATGTTTTGCATTTGTGTAACACCTTCCCTGATTAGTTTCTCAACAGAATTAGCTTCTGATAACTGCATGGCTTATGAAAGCAAATGTCACATATAAGACAATCCAGATATTAGAATATTTTATCAGCACCAGAATTAAAAAAAAAAAAAAAGAATTAACTAACATAAGCATTTTTAATTAAGATTTTTATTAGATGGAAAATTATTAGTTCTTAAAAAGCTAATAATTTCTAAGTTACGAAGTTGGATGTATTTATTTTTTTTTAATTGTTGGTTTTCCACCATGTGCATGGCTATTAATGGGTGTGGTTGACTCCAAGAGGACAGCCACAAAGTTGAACTGAGGATCTCAGCATTACAGCCCAGCTGAAGGACCAAGTGGTGCTGTAAACAAACCTTAAGATAACTGGCCTGTCCCTTTTCCAGCAGAGGGCCTGTGACATGTATGCACCAAGTGCTTGAAGAAAGATGGATAGGCTAGTTTAGTTCTGGAATATTCTGAATATTTCCCCAATACTAGAGCTTTATTGATGCTTAAAAGACAACTTGGTATTTTTACCTTCAATTATTTGGTGTTTCCCTCTCATCTGTGCTTTCTACTTGTTGATGGAATCTGGAAAAAAAAGACAAACTCAGAAGAAATGAAGTGATACAGATGTATACATTATCATGCCATGATGATATACTGGAAACTCGAGAAGACAATTTATGCTCTATTTCTTATTTGACTGTTATGACCCTCTTTATGCAAACTCAACTTTTACTCCTGGCTTTTGGTTGTGGTGGGGGTTTTTTGTGTGTTTTATGTTTGTTTGTTTTTGGCCTTTTTTATAATTGGTAAAAATTTAGACTCAGAAAGGAAAATAAATAAATCAATCAATCCCAAATCTTCCTTCCTCTGGAAGCATAATTAGGGGATTAGGGATATATGTTAGGTTTAAATGGTGGATTTTTTAAATGAAGGTGGTAGCTGGTATTGAATTCATTGGATCTTCCTATGCCAGAAGTTGTGGATGTAAGAAGGATGGGGAGTGTAAGCCGTCTCAGAAATTGTTGCAAAGTGTCATATCCCAGAACTGTGAAAAAACAATGCAAAGGCTTTCATGGGGAGTGGGGGGAGGGATTTTTTGTTGTTTGCTTGCCGATGGCATATTTTCTTTCATTACTGTTCCACAAAGTGTAGTTCATTCACATCAGAGGGTTGTTAATGAAGGTTTTGAAATGTAGTAACAGTTAATTAAATCTCAAAAACGTTTCTATAGTTAGCTGTTGTTGTAGCTGTAATGGTTTTAGCAGGGAAATCAAGGCATATCTTAAAGGTTAAATAATGGAAAAGCAGAGATGAAAAACCAGGAATCCTGTCTCCCTTGACTCCATTTCATCCACTTTTTTTGTGCTCCATGTGTGACTTCTAGCAGGAAAATAACATTTACTTCAGAAAAAGATGCATAGGAGAATTAAAGTGTTTCATTGGGTGTAGAAGGAATCTTATATTTGACCGCATACATTTCCAAAGAGTGGAGGCACTATTTTCACTGATATGGTGGTGATTTATATTTTCCCTTTCTCTTTTATAATGATGTACACAAATAATGTAGAAAACCACTACCTGTTTGACTGCCACAAGGCCTGTATTTTCAGTCCATGTGAGTATATCAGAAACTGATATTAGTTTCGCTGACACAGCATTGGAGGAAGTCTGAAGTTTATTTCATCGCCAGCAAGTACAGCAAATTTTTTACCTACCACCTCATGCATTTTTAGTTGAATGAATAGATCCTCTACCTGGGCATGATACAGGTTTTCTCAGATTTATTGCTTTCTCTAAGATACTACTTAAATTATCTGCTTTTTTTGCCATATCCCTTAAAAAGCAGCTTTGGATGCTAAATTCTTATGTATTAATTCTCTAAACTCTTATTTATAATTCAAAAGAGTAAAAAACATTTATAAAAATAAAACCTTATGCTATTTCAAACACTGAAAATCTGTATTGTTTGCAGTTCTTCTTTTACAGTGCATCATTCTATGGGTAAATTGATTGAATGTCATCTAATCCAAAGAAATGTTGGAGCAGATCCTCAGATGGTGTAAATCAGTGTTGATCTTGCCCTTTTCTGCAGATATAACTGGAAACAGGGATGATTTGGAATGTTAATGTTGCTGCTTCTGGGAGGTTTATTGATTTGTTCTACTTAGTAAAAAAAAAATAAAAAAAAATGAGAACTGTTTGTCAGTAGAAGAAGACAGTAAGAAGAGAAGGTGCTCAGCCTTCATCTGAACTCTTATACTGAATAACTTAAGTTACTGGTCATGCACTGAAAAAAAAAAAGGAAGGAGCTATTGGTCTTGTAAGAGGAGTAATATTCAATCATCACAAAGGCCCCTGTGAAACCATTTAAACAACTTTATTGATTTTTCCCTGGTTGGCAGTGTTTAATTCAAACAACTCTCAAAGAGTACAAGCATCACTGCGGGCAAATTATCAAGTGTTCTGGCCTCTATCACTCTTTGGCCACCACTGATACCCCTGCGAGTGACAAAAGTGAGCATTTCACCCCCTTTGGTCTCTGCATTGTTCTGTGTTAAGCTAACAAAGACAGTGTAAAGTGAAGTCTGGACCTCTGACCTTAGCTTACACTATCGAGAAGAAAATAAATGTCCTTTGTGCATACTTTTCTCACCAGTTACCGCCAGGATGACAAATAATTTTTTTAAGGGACTGAGGCTGCCTTTATGAAATACATCCATGGCAATTCCTCATTAACACTTGGAAAGGACACATCTGGTCCCCTGCACATATACAAGCATCATTCAAAATAAGTACTGAGTAAGCAGTAGATCTTCTACAGAAAGTGTTAGTCTGCCTAACAATTTATAGGAGCAAGTACAGTAAATGGAAAGTCCTGGGAACAAGCAAGGTTGCTCTATGCCTCTGTGGATACATTATGTATCTATTATATCAAGCTGATTGCAACTAGGAGCTTTCTATTTCCCTTCAGTCTGTAAAGACCAGTGCAGTGAGAATCTGCTTATTCTTACAGAAAAATGTCCCCCTCATTTTCTCCCAGCGGGCAGAAACTAATGTTCTACGGATACATCATACTTGGGCATAAGATGTCATTCTTCTACCCATATAGAAGACTTTGGATATACCAAGTGGTTTGAGATTTCTGAATCCCTTCTAGAAATAACAATTACATTTTCAAGGAGTCTTTACTTCTTGTATAGAGCCCAGTAGAAAGATTTTTATAACTTAGAGTCAACTGATTCCAATTTGTCATTAACTTTTCAAAAGTCTATTTTTTAAAAGACAAACAAAACAAGCCAAACCAAACTCCAAGCAATCAGCATTGTGTAACATATACATATCTGAATGAGGAAGATTTGAATTGGAAGGAGAGAAAAACTACATTAGAATAGAAAATGGACTTGAAAGAAATATGTGTGGCTTTATAAAAAGCCTTGAGCAGTACACTTCCCACAACGTAGGATATCTAATGAGTGGAAAGTCACAGAAACTTCTTGAACATTAAATCTTGTGATGATGATGGATGAATGATGCAATGGATATGATGATAAAATGGTTTCCTACAAAAATAATATGAATTTTATTTCTTCTGGTCTAAGACAAAAAGAAAGAGTGGGTGATATGGCTTAAAGAGGAAATGCTGAAATAAAATTATAAAAACTTCTTGTCTAACAATAAAAAGGAAAAAATGGTACCAACAGATTATAATTGGTTAGGAATTATTAAACAAAAGAAAAAATAAGACAGCACATAGAGTAAATCATGTAAGAAGGAACAAGAGAAGCATATGTGATGTATTATGAAGCTGTTTTAGTAAAATATTAAAGCAAGACACTTAGCAGACATATCTGAAAGTGGATGAGGAAATGAATTCTATTCCAAACTGTGTCCTTCAGGAAAGGATTTTTTTATCTTTTATGAAAAGGTGCTTCAGCTCATGGTTAGTAAGTGAGGCAGCATAAAAAGCAGATATTGATGAGAAAAGGTTGAGGAAATTGGAAAATATGAACACAAATTTCTTCTGTGGATTTTTTAGTGCATGTTCATCCAGCTTCTAAGACAGCTTTGTAACACACTCAGCAATTCAATGGCTACTGTTATGGAAAAGCGGTGGAAGGAAAATCATGGAGGATGGAACAAAAAAGCAAAGTCAGTCTACTTTAAAAATGATAAATTATATTAGTATTTGCCATAATAAGCAAAATTCTAGTAGTACTTAGAAAAGTCACATTTGCTGAAAACACTGGGGCCACAAACTAAAGCAGAAAGTAAAGAGTAAGCTATAAATGTACAATTTTTCATAATTTCTTAATTTACTTTTACAAATGTAAAAAATTTGACATCCATTGAGATTTCCATTTATTTGTTTTGTTATTTGTTGTTCAATTCTAAATGACAGAATTGAACTTAATTCAGAAATGTGACTTAAAATTTGAAAATAAGTGAAATTCTACAATGTAATAAGAGAAAAGCCTGAAATGCTTTAAAGACTGATATTAAAGATACTTCAAAGAACATGGAAACCTGAATTTTTCTTTCAGGTTCCCTTCAAAAAGCTTCCTTTCTTAAATTATTTTGAGCACTTCCAAAGAACCAGGCCCAACTGGAAGTCTAGACTAGGCCGTCTGAACTATGTAGTTGATGAATGATAGCTAAGGTACACTTTGTACTTATTTTAAGTGCAATGTCAATTCTTAACCCCTATGAAATTCTCATTTTTCAGTGATTCTGTGTATAAACAGTATAAAAGTTTCGAATTTTTACCAGCACATCTAGCATAGCAACAGAAAATTATTCTAAGGAAAACAGATATCTGAGAAAGAGTATATCACATAAAGCTAACAAACTCACCAGCATCTGGAAGGCAAAAATAAAATGGACATGCACATGAATATTATTTGTTCTCAAAAGAAAATTTATGAAAATAAAAATGGACACTCCAAGGACTATAGGCTGATGGGCAATTTTGCCTAAGCAATGGGCAATTATGCTTCATAAATTAAGGATTTCTGCTCAAGAAATATGAAAGTCCAATACCAGAATCTGGAGGCACTGAGCTCAGGATAAATGGGAGAAATAAGCTGAAAGCACCTGTTCTGTTTTCTGCTGTTGTCACTGCTGCACTACTTTCTATTACTTCATTATGGGAAGTATTTAAGCAGACAGCTCAAGAATCATCTGGCCATTTGTAAAGGAAGTGTATTTATATCCTCCCATCTCTCAGCTTTGATCTTTGCCTCCAGGCTGTATTACCGTAAAGTGCTTTATTTGGAGTTACCCTTGAAAACCGCTTACAGATTGCAACTCATGTTGAATGCAGCAGCATGACTGATCAAGGACCTTTTTCCTGCAGGACTCATGCAAACTCAACTGTGCCTATTATTCAAGATGTGTGCTCAAGGTCTCCTGTAAGTGTTAGAGTCTCACACTATCCCCGTCATTCTGACCTCAGCTTTAAAACAAGTGAGGGTTGGAATTTCTAACTGCCAAGCACAAGTATCTTTTCAGATAAGATCAACTCTCTTTTCATCAGAAATGAAAAAAAAGAAGATTTAATTGCCTGTATTTTTCAGTGAACCATAAAACACTTGACTGGAGGTATGATATATGAGAAGCCTTTAGTGAATTTAGGGAAAGAATTTCCCCATTCTGAGAAAGCCATAGATTTCCTAAAAATCCCTTAAGTATATTTCTGGCAATATAGGGACAAGACATTAGGTATTAGGAAAAACAGAGTGCTCTAGAGTAGGGTGAAAAAACTAAGATTACCTTGCCTCTCAGAAACTGGGGTTTGACAGAGAAGAGCACAGGCATCACTGTAGTTTTCTTTGAACCCCTATAGCATTCTAGCCATGTTCTTATTATTTTGATGGGTAATTTTTTTTTCTCTTAAGGTACTGATGTGCATCTTTAGAATTTTTTTTATTTTAAATTCCGAGCCTTACTTCAGGTTTCTTCTCCACTGTGTGCCTAACCATCTGTGCCACATATGCCTAACCATTCATACCCATCTCTACCACCATCACCACCATGCATACAGCAAAACAAGCAAAAAAGGACAAACCAATCCAGCAGCCTGACAACTCACATATATTACTATTAAGGGCACACACAGATCCAGTATTTTGGTCTGAAGTTGCAGAGCTGGATGTCTTGTGAGCTGTGGCTAAGGATTTTGGGTTTTCCTAGTTTGCCTAGAAATATAGATTGAGTGGCAGCCTCATTGCTGTCTACAACTTTCTAAGGAAGACAAGCGGAAAGGAGGGGTGCTGACCTCTTCTCCCTGTATCCAGTGATTAGATGCATGAGAATGATTCAGAACGGTGTTGGGAGAGGTTCAGACTTGGCATTAGGAACCATTTCCTTACTGAGAGGATAATCAAACACTGGAACAGGTTTCCAAGATGTCCCAAGCCTGTCAGTTTTAAGAGGCATTTGGACACTGCCCTTACCAATATACTTCAACTTTTGGTCAGCCCAGAAGTAGCCAAGGAGATGGATCAGATAATCCCTTTCAAGAAGGACCTATTCTATTCTGTTCTACTATATTGATAATCTGGCATGAGGAAAAAACAACAAAAAAGGAAAAAGTAATGGGAAAAGTAAAAGCAGAAGGAAAAGGAACAGGAGAAGCAACAGGAACAGCGAAAAAGAAAAAGAAAAAGAAAAAGAAAAAGAAAAAGAAAAAGAAAAAGAAAAAGAAAAAGAAAAAGAAAAAGAAAAAGAAAAAGAAAAAGAAAAAGAAAAAGAAAAAGAAAAAGAAAAAGAAAAAGAAAAAGAAAAAGAAAAAGAAAAAGAAAAAGAAAAAAGAAAAAGAAAAAGAAAAAGAAAAAAGCTTATACCAAAATGTGCAGAAGGAAACCGTAAGTAAAATTTAGAAAAAAAAAGAAGTTGTGTTGGTTTTGGACCCTTAAAAGTTGTAAAGGAAAAGATCAAAAGATCCAAATTGAACATCTACTTAAGGCAGACTCAAATATTAGAATAACTCAACAGAGAAAGAGGAGTTCCCTTAAAACATCAGTTACATGAAAAATTAGTTTTACCTGGAACAAGGGAGGGGTTTTTTAGAAAGTGTGTAGCACCTCTCAGTCCCTTAGAGAAATGAAAGCATGTTTGAGTTTCTCTTTAAAAGATAAGCACCATGCCTCTGTAATGATGATGATTTGATAGCTAATTAAGAAGCCTGTGGTTGTTGGTGTTCTGAAAATTTCTTGTTCAGATAAGTGTCAGTCATTTCTAAAATTTATTTAGGAATCTTCATGAGCTGTGACAGAGGTACCGAGCATGAGCAGATGACCTCAGTGAAAGACACCTTGCCCTAAGTACCAAAAATTCAGTACATTTCATTGAAAGGGGAACATCAAAGACCTCTGTAAAAACAAATTAAAACTTTCATGAATCCACATATAAATTCCCTGAGATAAATAGCCAACATCACTGTGATGTCATTCTCATCAGCATTGAGTCATCACCTACACCATTGTCACACCATCTACAGCTCATTGCACAAAGAACCTAAAGTTTATATTTGTATTTTTATTTCCTGCTTCTATGGCTCTGTCATAGCAGGGTACTGGGCATTGAGCACTATTGCAAAGTTATATTATTGTCACCACCTTCATGATTCTTACAAAATGAGAATAGCAAACATTTAATGTTCAAAAAGAAAGATTTCTCACTGATTCCCAAGGCAAACTAAGAGCACAAACAAGAAAATTTTGCATTGTTAGTTAAGGGTGCTTTCAATTTTGAAGTATTTTTCTTATTCTTTATACCTGTGTGCCCATATTCAATATACATAATTCATATATTTAATTTTTAAAGTAGATTGATGATTATGAAAATATAAATAAACAACATCAGGTACACACTACAACATTTCTAGGCAAATTATAGGTTGGCAAAACATAAATACCTCTCTCTTGAATATGTAGGTGTGGTAACTCTCCATTCTGTTTTGTTTTGATCTCTTTCTTCTCCATAAAATTTGTGATGGACAGCTGGTGAGAACAGTTACATTGATTATAGGTGACCATTTAATTAAGTTTAAGATGTTACTTGTTTTCATGAATGTAAATTAAAACCTGATTTCTTAAATTAATATATTATTGCCTAACATGAAAATATCTCTGTAGTGTCTGATGATTTGAGCCCACAGGAGGAAGCTGGTATTATTTCCCTTGCGTGCTGTTGGAAGTAGAAGAAACCTTCCCAAGAAAATTTTGGGTAATAATATCAAAGCAAACCTTTATTTGAAAGCTTTCAGGTACAATATGGTGAAAACTGCACATGGTACAGTAATTTTATAATTTTTATAAGGTTAGTGAGTAAGTTTTCATATCATCTTTTATCCAATTAGATCATCTTTTATCCAATTAGAAAGTTGGTTAGGTCATAATTCCCTGGGTCCTGCCCCGCTGGAAGTGGTCCAGGGCTTCTTTGCCCCACTTTTGTTATGTGTTCCCAGATTCTGGTTGGAAAACAGAACATCCTTGTAGTTGGTTCTCTTCTTGGAATAAGACTAAACAATGGTTTAGGAATGTGTTTAGAAGTCTAGCTTATTGTTCCTAAATATAGGGTAAAAGGGTAAGAAAAGCAGTAGGAACTAGAGCAATGCATTAGCCATCTACAAAGTTACAAATATATGAAAAATATAAAAGCTACAAATCTTAGGCATCAGTGCCAGGCCTTGGATTCTTGGACTAACTGCTCAGACATCAAAGACTTTTCACACCCAAACTGCAGCACTGTGCATGATAGAAATACATCTTAGAACTGTATTTGTTTTCATCAAGAGAAATACATACTGAGAAAGGGTGAAACTACAGAAAGCTGGGGAAGGTTGAAGCAATGGCTTGGTGTGCATATTTAAATTATTGCTATATCTCATTTGCTTGCCCTGAGTTTGTAACTACAAAGCTGTTTGTGCATGTGTTTTCCTACCAGTTAGGAACATGAGATCAGTTGCCTTGATTAGTCATTGGCAGGCTGTCAGTGAAAAAAAGGACCTCTGGACACCACTACTGGCAGGTCATCCTGACATTCTCCAAGTTATGGGTGAACAAACTTTATCTAAATGACACAGTGCATCTCTACCAACATTATAGACACTGTTTATTATCTGAGGGGCTTTTAGTTCCACAGTTTGTCTCCCATCAGCTAATTAACCCTGCCTTGTAGCAAGGCATGGCTGCTACACTCTGATGCTACACCCTTTCTCAAACATGCCTATACCATGTTAGCTTTGAAATCTGTGTGCCTTCACAACTGTGTATCCTGCTGCCACATCCTTTAAGTGCAGCTGATATTGAACTGCAAAGACAGCAGTTCTGTCTTCTCACCCTGAGTCCCCCCTTTTGTTACTCCTGGGTGCTTTGTTCAGCACTCCACTTGACACTTCTCAAGATTAATAGACTCAGTGTCATAGCTGGGGAAAACAGGTTCTAGTTTTATGCTCTTTAGCAGCATCTGCTACTCCCCTCTTTGCTTTGGAGAGAGTAACACTGGGGTTCAGATGTTGAGAGCATTGCACTTCACAGCCACCACATTTCACAATCCAGAAGAAGCAGGAGTCTCCTAAGTGGGGAGTGACATCACCAGGGTCATACACTAACAACCCAAGGTAACAGTTCTCTAATTAATTCTTACTGCTTCAGCTTCCACAGAAGCAGATCTTCCCTGTATCATCCTGTTATTATTCACTGCTCCATTGTAGCCTCTCACAACTCCTTCTTCCAGTGAGTCCCTCAAAAGGTGTGAGGTGCCATGATGAACCCAGAAGAGGGTTATAAAATTCACTGCTTCCTACAAAGTTTTCACATTGTTTTAGCTTCTTTCATTCATTGCACTGTTTGTCACAATGCAATTCATCCCAGTTAGAAACCTGTTAGCTCTGTGGGGGTTGTACATGAGCAATGATCATGCAAGCAGGCCATATGGGCCCCATCTGCTTCCAAGGAAGTAATGATGGCTTGACCATTGACATCAAAGGTAACGAGGCCATGTCCTTCATAAACAGAAGCCACAAAAACTCCTGAATAGGCAGCAGGTGCACAGGAAGATGGAGAGGTAAAGCAAGGCTCTCCAGGGTTACCTGCAGTGTCAGTGATAGTGTGCCACTTCAGTGTTTCATTGGAATACTCTCCAGCTCACTATATACTAGCTGGTATTTCTTCTCTTAAACACTATTAATTACATTATTTTTTTTTTTTCTGACAGATCATGCTCTATTTTTGTTGTTGAGGTTTTTTAGATATTTATTTATTATATCTATTTTTCTCCTAACCTGCTACTGAAGAGCACCATTAATTTATAGTTGCTGACTGACTTTCATAACTTGTTTACAGTGAAAGAGTTACACTGAAGTCCTGTCCAAATGACTGAACAATGCTCTGGAAATTATTTTTTACCTCCTGTTAATTTATTTCTTAAAAAGAAAAAATAGATTTATTATTATGTTTTACATTACCTGAAGGCAGGATCCCCTGTAGTAATTTTATGCCTATTAATTCATTCATATAGTGTCTAATATTGAAAAAATATTTCAGAAATACAATGCAATGATAGAGAATGGTAAAATTTAAGGTGTGATACAAAGAGAAGTAAGAATAGCATTTGGACCTGTTCTGCTAATGGACTAAGTCATAAAATAACCCAGACCTTTTTGATAATTTAGATGCATATCATTAGTTTTGTTAGGCAAGTGAGGTCTTCCAGGTTAAGATCTATCAGCTAAACCAGTGCTAAAAGCTCTTCAAAACCCTAACCTTTAGGCTGGTGAGATATCATACTCATCTAACACTGTGTCTAAACACTGACCCTCAGGGCAGGATCTAATGTTAATGAAAAATATTTATCTGACCAGTGAAAGCTGCTTTCCCCAGCACACTTTTTCCTAACTGGCTGCCATTCTTTATGGAACACCCTAGAGGTGTTCTGCTCCTTTTTTATGGGCTTCTTCCATATTTTAGAAAACCTGGGTTTAAGTGTTGTGCTCCCCATTATGTAAACAGATAAATTTTTACTTTTCATCGAGGATGGTCCACACCAATAATTTATCATATGGAAGAATGTCTCATTGTATCAGCAATCCTAAACTATTAATTAGTGTTAACTGATTTTCTGTCACTCCTTGTACTGATTTAAAATTATATATACTTTAAAGAGATAGGAAAAAAAACATAGGTATGAACTGAATTTTTTTAAGCAAATTACTTTTTCTTGAATATGTATTTTCAGTAATCCAGAACTAATTCTGGATATGCGTCTAAATTAGTGCAACAATTGCACTTCATTGCAATTCAGCAATTTCATCTGAATCAAACCATTTTTTTTAATGATTGATAAAACCTTTGTAAATATCTTCTTGGATTACTATTGTGCTTACAAGGCAAAACTAAGAAGCCTACTTACATCAGGATTTAGATATCCATTACACAGTCACAGAGAGGGAGTGACAAGATATAATTCATCTCCGCCACAACATCTGAGGAACTTCAGCAAGCCTGTGGAGCTAAAGGAAGCGCAGATGTCAGCATTTTTTTCCCCCCAAATGTCACAATTTGTGTGAAATATTTAACTATTCACTAGTCCATGTGACTGAGTCCTTCTTTTCCAGAAAAAAAGGGTAGTCAAGACAACGCTGCATTAAAATTTTGTCAAGGTGTGCAGGTTCTCTGGTACTTATACCTGCTTATTCCAGTTCTTTCTACAGATGGGGGGAGTTACAATGGAAAAGTACTATCTGAATGCCTGTGAAACCAGATGGAATAATGAGGGGAGCTTGAGGTATATCTACGGGTCCCTATAGTTACATAACAGAATAGGAGCCAAAATAACTTCTCAAAATAATTTTAAATATGTTATACCTGGTATTCCTTCCCAATATGGTCAGTTTATTTAGCTGTTCATTGCATAATCAGAAATGAAAACATCACAGTGTGTGATGCTCAGACATCATGCACACATGAAGAGACAGTTTATTGTCCTCAAAACTCACTTTATATTACAATCTTGTCTACCTTTTACAGATATTTAAAGATTTCTTTTATACTTCATGTGAAGGAAAAGATCTGATCAAGACCTTAATATTGGTCCTTGTTTATATTAATCCTGCATGCACACAACCTCGTGTCTTCTTGAATACTTTTAATTCTCAAGGGTGTTTAAAATTGTCTTCCGAATCAAGGCACTTCTTTGTCTCCCCAATGTCCTTGATAACCATTATTTTCATTGCTGGATTTTTCTTTAGTTCTAGTGGACTACTTCTTTCCAGAGTTTCAGGTGAGCAAATCACAGCAATTGAGTTATGTCTTCTTCAGACCTGTGTCTGGAGCCAAATTTCTAAGCTAAAGCTCAGGAGAAGAAATGAAGATCAATCACATCTGGGGGTTTATAATCTCCTTAGTTTCCATTCCCCTGGGGTGATACTAGTTTGCTTTTCTTGCTAATTTGTCTTTATGCAAAAATCCCTTTGTTATGCCTTGATTCAGAGATATCTTGTGCCCATTTTTAGCAGCTTACTATTAAATCAGTGCCTCATATGCACAGTGGGCTTAAAAAGTTATAAACCATAGGAAACCTGAAAGGATACACGTAATGAGAATTCTTCTTCATGTGCATTAGTTGAACCTGAATAGCATCCAGCAGCAGATTTCTGTTTTCTAGATACCCAGTGCTATGATGCATGTTGGGATGGGCAGAATAATGAAGGGTTAAGGAGACTGCAACATCCTGACAAGTTCTTATAAATTCAAGCTGTAGTTGGTACAATCTCAGATTCAATCTTATTAGTAGAAATATGGACGTATCAGAAAAGACATTCTAGCTTTTGAGTTGCTGCCAAAACATATAGCAGGATGAAAAGGGGCTTATTTTATATCTTTTAGCTGACTATTTTATCACTGCAGTGGATCTGCCAGGCAGCAACACCAATCTTATTAGCTACTCAGCATCAAACCAATGCAGTCATATTACAAACAGTAGTTTTCTGGCCGTATTTTCTTTCCTAGTCCTGGAGGATTTAACTTTGAACTAGAGTTGGGGACCAGATTTAAAGAGCTACGTGAGCAGGTCCTACTTATTAGAGGAAACTTCTTGTCAAGAAAAAAAGCCTTTTTTCAGAGACTTATGTTATTGATCTTAAATCTGAGAAGGTATAGGCTTCCTGACCTTGACCCAAGGTGTGGATAAAGAAGGGTTTTTAATTTTCTATTACAGGAGAAAAAATACATTTTAGGATGCTACCAATACATATTTCATAGACTGTCAGCCTTATCATCAAGTTATTCCATGCTTTTAACATGTGGTCATTTTCTGCATCTTGTCTGAAAGGACACATGTGCTGTAGGTTCTCATTAAAAGAGTTTTTCTTTTGCTTATTCTTTACCAGACAAAGGTCATGCTGGGTATTAGTCCTCTGTCCCAGCAAATGACAAAAAAATTATCCCAGTATTTTTCTTTGTCTGAATTGTGTATTTCAGGATTTTTTTTCAGGTTTGTTTGTTTGTTTGTTTGCTCGGGGCCTTTATTAAATCTACTCACATTTAATCAACACATTTTTTTCCTTTCCTTATAAAGAACCCTGTGAGTCTTTTGTTTGCAAGGACTAATGACAGAAACGGAATGAAGAATCAAACTAATTCATTAAAACAATAAAGAAAGAGTGATGAAAGATAGAGACTTTTGGAATATAGTATTTAACATTATTCCTGAACACCAACAAAATAAAACATTCCATAGAAATTAAAAGTGTTTAAAGTGTCAAACTCTGGTAAAAAAAGCAACTGAAGCTTTAGGTAGCAATATGCAGTAACAGAATCTGCATTAAAGGCCTTTGCTGCTAATTGGAATGAATTCATGCCTTCCCCATTGTAAGTCAAAACTGCATGAGCTTCCTCTCTCTGATAATGTTGCAAAGGTAGCCTCACTTCCATCTATTAATGTCATCTCTAGTGTGCCTGTGAAATTTGCCAGAGCTGATTAGAGCAGATATTAAATGATAATTGGACATTTAGTGCTCATCAAACAGAAAGTGACAGATGGGCCGCTAATTAAATTATAGTTCTGACATTATTCACAATGGTTTATGAATCTCCAGTAGTGACCTTCATGCATCTCTTTTCTCTTTTGGGGGATAAGAGAGTGCTAAAAAAAAAAAAAAAAGACATTATTAAAATTTTAACATATATGTGCAAAGTGAAAACCTGCTTTCTTTCCTCATTGATCACTCCTTAGAATTACATAATTAATCATAAAATAGAGCAACAAATAATCAGATTCACGTAAATCAGGCTGAGTGGCTGAAGCTGGGAGGAGAAATTAATCATACTCTGAAAAAGGGAGGCATGTTTTAACCAGGCTTTCATTGTGGAAAAAGAAAACGTGCCTAAATATAGTCTGATCCTAGAAAAGGGAATGCAGGGCCTCTTGTACTGTGCTCTCTTACTTTTCAACTCAAGATAGCATTACCTACTGTCTTTGTCAGCTAAATGAAAAGGATTTACTTCATGAAAAAGAGTAAAACTTGAAGTAAAGAGACACAGTTGCTGAGCCAGAACTATATTGTCACTTTCAATTAAAAAAGAAAACACAGTTAATTACTTTGTAACTTTGCTTTCAGAAGTCTTGCTTAATTTTAGAAACTAGTTTTAAAAAATAATAACTCTAATATTCCTGGTTATCACCAAACTTAATTTTTGTGTAATATCTTCCCATAATTGGTGGACTAATATTTGTATAATATTCAAATAAATAAGTAAATAAATAAGTGCTAGCTTTAGCATTTCAATATAGTTCTACTTGTTTCTAATATTGTACAGGCATTACTGCATTAAGTATATTAGAAAATAGATATACATAATTCTCATACTGCATGTGCATGTATAGCTACATACATATATGCATACAATGTAATTATTCAGAGACCTGTTGCAATGATAAAAAAATGAGCAACTCTTCTTTAGGTAATTAGTCTTACTATTTTCAAGAGGGACTGGTGGCCAGGGCAAAATTCCCATCTATTCCCATTTTCTGTTGCCAGAAATTGCCTTGTGAATGTGAGGACATATAGGTAAACTTTAAAGATTTAGAAACGGATAAGTGCCTTTATATTTTTCCCCTCACTGTTTTGTTTAATAGTTGCATGTATAGAAATTATTCATTAAATCATTATGTACATGCATCTTTGTAAGTTTAATTTTTCTCCAGGTGTTTCCTGATGGGTTGAAAGTACAATAAATATCCAAACTGGAGCTCACCAGCTAAAAAATTTTTTAAAAACACACAAACAAATAAGCACCCATTTCCTTCCCATCTCCAAAATAAACTCTCAGAGAGAAGAAACCTTTGGAGTATTTGGAAATAAATATTACCCTTTACAGATTTTTTTAATAAACTTCTCTATGCAAAATCAAATGTGATTTGAATATTTGAACCTTGCTTTTAGTCATATGCTTTAGTCATATGTTTAATTTTTCAGTAAGGCAATGGAATATCTTAAACCTTTGGATTTCTGAACTATCTCACACACACATGACCAGAACTTCCAAAAGAAAATATGCAAAACATACAATACTCAAGTCTATATAAATTGTACAATAACAAAACTAGTTAAAAATGCAAGCAAGCAAGCGAGCAACCAACCAACCAACCAAGAACCAAAACCAAAAAATACCCAACAAAACCCAAAGACATAAAATTCAGAAAATATAAGTAAATATCTATAGAAAATATGGATGCTGAAACTGGAATTCACGAGGGTTTGGCATCAAATATAGCTAATGTAAAAAACATAGAATATCCTGAGCATATTTTAAAACACTGTGTCCAAACAGTAAAGATTTAAATGCAGAACAAAAGTGAGATGTTATTGTTCTGAAATGGCTGCTCTCCTCTGAGCTTTCAGGAGCCTCCTGCTGTGAAAGTCATTTGGACTTAATGGAAAACTCCTTGATTCAATTATACTCAACGGGCCTTTTCCTTTTCTCAGTTAAACTGGTATAAATGTGGAGTAGCTTCACTGTCTTCAGTAGTGACTCTGGATTTATTCTGCTGCCCTGGCCCACCTAATCTTCTGTTCCTGCTCAGTAATGGGTATTTGCAGGGCTAAGTAGCTTTGCTGGATAGTCTTCTCTATATTTATTTTCATTCTTTTTTCAAGCTACCAACATAAGAAAGCCCATTAATCTCTGCTCATGAGATCTGTGTTATACTTCTTATATTATGTTTGAGGAAAGCCCTTAAATTCATCATAATTTCTATTCAAGTTCTTTCTCAGTACCTAGTTCCTAAAAAGAAAAAATGCCGTTCACTTCTAAGGCATTTTATGTCTGAGATTCTGGTTCTATTTTAGATATTATAGTGAGATGCCTATGAAATAAGCCATTTTCTTTAATTTAACGTACACTATCATACAGTATCAACCAACTTCCCATGCTCCTGTGTATTTCATGGCTTGTCTCAAGATCCTGAGCAAACCACCCCTTCTTGGATCTTTTGTGGC